TTGCAGCCAACTTTGCACAGGCACACAGACACGCATGATGCCACCAATTACAGCTTGCAATGCCAGTGTCAGTGGGTTCTACCATGCATTCTGCTCACTCAACATGTTCCCCCATACTATGACTCTTTGTGAGACTGTTTCCCATTTTTTCACAGTGGCCGATAAAACAGCAAAGAATCCCCTAATGCTTGGCAATATGGAAAACTTCACAAAAAGTGTGGGTCCCCCCCCTTTGCCTGCATTCCTTTCTCTTCCCTTTCATTCAGCGAACTAACACTAAAATGCATGGACAAAACCTGAACCACAAAGATTTAAAACCTGAACCACAAAGATTTATATAGGAGGTGCTTGCTGGATGCTACAGTGCAGCTGTAATAGGGCAATCGCATAATTAAAAAAAAAAAAACTTTGGACAACACCCACCACACATCACAAATGACATTCTGCACCGATTTAGAAAAGTGCTGGTTTTTTTATTGTAGCTGCAGGATAAATACACCAGAGGAGGGCCGTGAAAACAGAACTTTTTAGGCAGGCGTTCCGATAGGAGCGACGTTTTACCAGCAGCGCCCTGTAGTGAACTCCGATCCTATACGATCTAATGTGGCGGTACCGCCGAATGTGTCCTTAAATTGCACTTTAGTTCTATCGCCATCTAATGAATGTTTTATATTGATTGGTTGTGTTTTAATTGATGTTTTATATTTTATTGTGAATGTATACTGCTTGTCAGTTCTTGGAAGCCGCCCTGAGCCTGCCTAGAGGGAAGGGCGGGGTAAAAGAGAAACAAATAAATAAATAAATAAAATACATGGGGTTTAATGCTACACATGATATGTGAGTAATTGAGCCATCACCAATGTTAGAGTGAGACAACATGGAAGCAGGTGGGGAGGGGAAGCCTGTCGTGAAGTAAGTTCACTTTGCCATTCTTGTGCCTGCCATTTCCAGACTGCACCTTCCTTTTCTTTTCCCCATCCATCCCTTCTTTCTGAGCAACTTGGAGTGGGTAAAGAGCAAAGCCTGTCACAGATCCTCCCAACCCTATTTGGGTTTCTGGGATAAAGAAAAACTTTTCTTCTAACAGTAAGGGACCATCACCCACTCACAACTCCCCAGCCCCAGGGTCCCTCCCTTGGACTAAGAAGGTGCGTTTTCTCTCACTCAGTCTCCTCACTCTCGCTCGCATCCTAGCTGGGGAGTTTTGAATTCGCCTCCCAAAAAACTGAGCCAAGAGTGTGAGGACTGGGGTGGAAGTGGAGTGGAGCCTGGGGGGTGGCTGCGATAAGAAGGTGGCTGCACACAGGGCAGGGGACTCCACTTCATTTTTAAAGGGGGGGGATAAGAATGGAAGGAAGGAAGGAGACAAAGTGGCACCGAGGAGACCCAGTCTCTTCTCTTCTCTGCCTTTGGAAGAGAAAGGGAAGACTGACTG